GTTACTAGCTGTAGGTTTTGTTAAACTGGATGATGAGTAATATGGAGTTACTAGCTGTATGTTTTGTTAATCTGGATGATGAGTAATATGGAGTTACTAGTTGTAGGTTCTGTTAAGCCAGATGATGAGTAATATGGAGTTACTAGCTATAGGTTTTGTTAAACTAGATGATGAATAATATGGAGTTACTATTTGTAGGTTCTGTTAAGCTGGATGGAATAATAATATGGAGTTACTAGCTGTAGGTTTTGTTAAACTGGATGATGAGTAATATGGAGTTACTAGCTGTAGGTTTTGTTAAACTGGATGATGAGTAATATGGAGTTACTAGCTGTATGTTTTGTAAATCTGGATGATGAGTAATATGGAGTTACTAGTTGTAGGTTCTGTTAAGCCAGATGATGAGTAATATGGAGTTACTAGCTATAGGTTTTGTTAAACTGGATGATGAGTAATATAGAATTACTAGTTGTAGGTTTTGTTAAGCTGGATGATGAGTAAGATGGAGTTACTAGCTCTAGGTTTTGTTAAGCTGAATGATGAGTGATATGGAGTTACTAGCTGTAGGTTTTGTTAAACTAGATGATGAGTAATATGGAGTTACTAGTTGTAGGTTTTGTTAAGCTGGGTGAATAATAATATGAATATACTAATTGTAGGTTCTGACAAATTGGATGATGAGGACAATGGAGTCACTAATTGTAGGTTCTGTTAAGCTGGATGATGAGTAATATGGAATTACTAGCTGTAGGTTTTGTTAAACTGGATGATGAGCAATATGGCGTTACTAGTTGTAGGTTTTTTTAAGGTGGATGAATAATAATATGGAGTTACTAGATGTAGGCTTTGTTAAGCTGGATGATGAGTAATATGGAGCTACTAGTTGTACGTTCTGTAAAGCTGGATGAGTAATAATATGTAGTAACCAGCTGCAGATTTTGTTAAACTAGATGAATAATAATATGGAGTTACTAGCTGTAGATTTTGTTAAACTGGATGAATAAAAATATGGAGTTACTAGCTGTAGGTTTTGTTAAGCTGGATAATGAGTAATATGGAGTTACTAGCTGTAGGTTCTGTTAAGCTGGATGATGAGTAATAAGGAGTTACTAGCTGTAGGTTCTGTTAAGCTGGATGATGAGTAATACAGAGTTACTATTTGTAGGTTTTGTTAAGCTGGGTGAATAATAATATGGAGTTACCAGCTGTAGATTTTGTTAAACTGGATGAATAATATCGAGTTACTAGCTGTAGGTACTGTTAAGCTGGATCATGAGTAATGCGGAGTGACTAGCTGTAGGTTTTGTTAAGCTGGATGATGAGTAATACGGAGTTACTAGCTGTAGGTACTGTTAAGCTGGATCATGAGTAATGCGGAGTGACTAGCTGTAGGTTCTGTTAAGCTGGATGATGAGTAATACAGAGCTACTATTTGTAGGTTTTGCAAAGCTGGGTCAATAATAATATGGAGTTACCAGCTGTAGATTTTGTTAAACTGGATGAATAATAATATGGAGTTACTAGCTGTAGGTTTTGCTAAGCTGGATGATGAGTAATATGGAGTAACTAGCTGTAGGTTTTGTTAAGCTGGATGATGAGTGATATGGCGTTACTAGTTGTAGGTTTTGTTAAGGTGGATGAATAATAATATGGAGCTACTAGCTGTAGGTTTTGTAAAGCTGGATGATGAGTAATATGGAGTTGCTAGCTGTAGGTTTTGCTAAGCTGGATGATGAGTAATACGGAGTTACTAGTTGTAGGTTGTGTCAAGCTGGTTGAACAATAATATGGATATACTAATTGTTGATTCTGTTAATTATGATGGATGATGAGTAATATTGAGTTAATAGTTGTAGGTTCTGTTAAGCTGGATGATGAGTAATATGGAGTTACTAGATGTAGGTTTAATTAAGCTGGATGAATAATAATATGGATATACCAATTGTAGATTCTGTCAAGTTGGATGATGAGGACCATGGAATCACTAGTTGTAGGTTCTGTTAAGCTGGATAATGAGTAATACAATTACTAGTTGTAGGTTTAGTTAAGCTGGATGAATAATAATATGGAGTTACCAGCTGTAGATTTTGTTAAACTGGATGAATAATAATATGGAGTTGCTAGCTGTAGGTTTTGTTAAACTGGACTAAGAGTAATATGGAGTTACTATTAGTTGTAGGTTTTGTTAAACTGGATGATGAGTAGTATGGATATACTAATTGTAGGTTCTGTTAAGTTGGATGATGAGTAATAAAGAGTTACTAGTTGTAGGTTCTGTTAAGCAGGATGATGAGTAATATGGAGTTACTAGTTGTAGGTTCTGTTAAGCTAGATGATGAGTAATATGGAGTTACTAGTTGTAAGTTTTGTTAAGCTGGATGACGAGTAATACAGAGTTATTAGCTGTAGGTTTTGTTAAGCTGGATGATGAATAATATGGAGTTACGAGCTGTAGGTGTTGTTAAGCTGGATGATGAGTAACATGGAGTTGCTAGTTGTAGGTTCGGTTAAGCTGGATGATAAATAATATGGAGTTACTAGCTGTAGGTTTAATTAAGCTGGATGATGAGTAATATAGATATATAATTGTAGGTTCTGTTAAGTTGGATGATGAGGACCATGGAGTCACTAGTTGTAGGTTTTGTTGAGATGGATGATGATTAATATGGGGTTACTAAATGTAGGTTTTGTTAAGCTGGATGAATAATAATATGGAAAGGTACTAATTTTACAGTTATATTAATATCTGTTGTTTGTTTGATGTGCTATATTTACAGTTGCTATGTAATGTTCTAATGGTAGCAACATCCAAATTGCTGTAATATCATTTGTCAGTTTTTTTTTTTTTTATTGGTAGAAATAAGGTCAAGTCAGTTTACTTAACAATAACAAATTAGCTTATATATTTCTTAATGTTCGTTACAGGCTACTTTTACTTGTACTCAGTTGTGTACCTAAGTTCACAAACAAAGTTTTCATTTTTAACAGAATTTTTTTGGTAATCATCAGATTAACTTAACAGAATACAAGCACTGTTTCCCACATCTGTAACAGTTCCCCTTTTCTAATATTTTTTAAGAAAACAGTTCTTATTCCATAGAAGATTTTGCCTGCAGCTTCTGGCAATACTTCCTTTTAGGCTCACATGAAGTACCTACTGTCTTGTGGTCTATTTCCTTCATTCTGTGTAACTAACTATATAATTAATTGTTTTAGTTCTTCTAGGCTATGTTAGAGAAAGCTGATGATTCAATACTACTGGATCTCATAATCTTGTAATTTCTAGATGGTGCCTTTACTTGTTTTTCTGAAACTTTTATGGATTCAGTTCCACTATCAACTGGGCAGCTTTCTTTACAGTTGTACACCTACTTTGTTTCAACCTAATTCTCATATTCTCTTTGAATCCATTATTTCACATGGAGTATCAAGTTCAGCTAAAGAGTCCTTTTTTGTTTCTCAGTACCCCTTTCCATAACTTTGCTCTGGATACTTCTTTCTGGTGTATCACTCCAAACCTGTTGGATAAAGCATGTATCAATGCTTGATAGTTATGGGTTTCAGATAGAAGAGCAATAAATGTTGTTAAAGCTGGTTATTTTAAATGGGCAGCAAGATGAATAGATTGTTGCTCAGTATTCTATTTGTTCACTTTGGAAGTCATATTTTGAATTGAGCCTGATATGCTTTCAATGGTGCCTTTCCATCATAGTCCATTGGTTTCTCAATTGGGTGATGTTGTTAACTTGGCCAAGTAAATTCTGGAAGATTTGGTCATGAGGTGGCTGGAATAGTCCAGGAAGGTCCTGCAGTAACAAATGGCACAGCAATGCCAGTAACAGGTATAGATTAAATAGGTTCTCATATTCTATATTCAATGGTAAATGGTGATTTAGGTTGGATTTTGTAGGTGGATGCAGAAAAAAGGTGTTGGTGGTTTTATTTTTACATTTACCAACTCTTTTGCTAAATGCATTATTCTGTCATTGACGTTTTTTTCTACCTCACTGATTTTGCTGTTACAATCTTTCTGTATTTCTTACATTTTATAATTACAGCCTTTCTGCACTTCACTGACTGTACTTTGTACTTCTTTAATCTTGTTTTCCTAATCTTTTTGTACATCTCCAATAGCTTTGTGGATCTAGTCTTCAATCAGATTTATATTTGTTTTCAAGTTTTCTTTAAATACTATATCTCTTACTTTTAACTCCTCTCTTAAATTCCCATCTTGGTCATCTTCTAATTTTCTATCTCTTTCTTTTTGGTCTTGTTTGAATTTTCTATCTCGTTCTTCTTGATCTTCTTTTAAGTTTCTGTTTTGCCTGTTCTTCTAATTATTTATCACTTTCTTTTTTATCTTCTTTTAATGTCTTGTCTCATTCTTCTAATTTTCTATCTCTTTTTTCATGATTTTCTATTAAATGTTTCATTAACTCCAATACATCTTCAATATCACCTTATGAGGTCTTCTCAAAAGTTGAAGTTTACTTAATGTTCTATTTTATTTTCACCAAAATAATTCCCCTTCTGACATCAGTGTTGTAATATGTTCTATCGTTGGTTAAATTCTTTTAACTTATTTTAGTAAAAATAATACTTAATGTTTGTTATAGACTACTTTTAAATAATACTAAGTCCAGTTCACACAACAATAATAAATTAGTTTATTTCTTCCTTAATGTTTGTTATAGGCTACTTTTACTGGTACACAGTTGTAGACCTAAGTTCACAAATAATATTTCAACTTTCAATAAAATTTCTTAATAATAGACATTATTATTATTATATGTGATCATTCACTAACTTCTCTGAATTCTCATTCACTAATCAAATGAATATCTCACACTGAACCATCGTAACTGCTTAATTGTATTTGTACTAATGTATCAATAAATATCTTAGGCAAATTTACTAGATCTTAACCTTATGTATCCTCTAGCTAACATTTAAATTAAAACATTGAAAATATAGCTCAGAACAAAAATAAAATATGTATGCATATTTTGGTAAAAAATGTGAAGCAGAGATCTAAAATTAGTGTTTATTAATGATAAATCAATTGGCTCATTTTTTAAATACCAATTATTTTTAATTATTTTTATATGTGTTGTTTTCTTAAATCTTAAAACAACATGACAAAGAGGACAACTTTGTATTTAAATTACAAAAAAAATTTTGGTTTTGTCAGAAATATATTCTATTGATGGGCATTTTATCCATTTTTAAGTGACTGAAACATCTTGCGAGAGTTTTTCATAGACATTTAAGCACTTTGTTGATGACAAGGAAAAGAATATATACATGGACTACAGCTTCTTGAACACTTGGATCTCTTTCACAAGATCTGCAGCTAGCTCTGTAAGAAACGTTTAGCATATTTCAGGACAACAGTGTTGAGAGAAGAAGTAGGAGACTATTTTTTGGGTGACTTCTTCCATTACTAATATTCATGTCTGTTTTTTGAATGAAGAACTGTGTTAACAGGGTAAAGACATGGATCTCACAGAGTACTGTATGTGTGGGCACAGCCACCAACAGCAACGGAATATTCACCACTATTCACTTTCACTACATTCCAAACCTGATTGAGAAATTAAATTGTACAGCCAAAATGTTCAACATACAAATTACACAGAACTCTGAAATTCATCCTTAAACACACATAGAAGAGACTGACAGGCACAGTGTGGCTAGATTCAAAAACATAAGAACAATACAAGACTCATGAAAATATAAAACACTACCAATGCTACAAATACTTTAAAAGCTGGTCACAATATCAACATAGAGCACAACAAATTCTGGTAGTTCAAAGAACATAAAATCAACACAAGAATCATGAAAACACATAACACTACCATTACTGAATATGTTTTTAAAACTGTACAACATATGAACATAGACCACAAAAAATCAGAGTCATTCCACATTAATGTTGATATACAGAGAAACAAGCTTAAAAATCAGCAGCCTTTCATATCCAATCTTAGACTTAAAAAATCAGACCAATCAACCTACTAGATATACTTCTAACAAAGACACAGCAAATGTTTTGATGTAACAACACAGCTCTCCTCCTCACTCACAGTTCCTGAAGTCATCTTTCAGTCAGCTCATTTCTTAGCCAAATAGAGATCTCCCCCATACCAACACAGAGTTCTCCTTGAGATCTCTCCACTCTATTAACAAAACTCTGCTTTCAGCAAACATATTTGAAGACAGGTAACAGAAGTTATTCCAAGCAATGTCTTCTACTGCTTTCCTCAACTCCTCATTGATCTGGTATCTACGAAAAACTTCCTACAGAACTACAGGCACTGAGAAATAGATTCTTGTTCACAAGCTGCTAAAGTATATATATATATATATATATATAGTCTCCTCATTCTGAAAGAGAATTAATACTTCCACAGCGCTTTGTTTATGTACCTTAACAATGTCAGGTTACCATTGTGAGCTTTATGGTATTGACTGGGTTCTGAATCTGAATGTGCCCTGGAAAGCCTTATATAATTCTGTCAAACTTACAATATGTTCAGTTGCATCTGTCTTCTTATCAAAGCATTCCTCTTGTTAACCAGGATGAACCACTGCTGCATTAGTTGTTCTTCCCTTTCTTTATTGGTGCCTGCAACATAAGGTCACTTGAGCTCTGACAACAGTAACTATAAATATGTCATTTTATAATTTTACATAAAATGATAAATCTATTTAAATTTTGACATATACTTCTCAGAAATGATACTCTGCATGTTTATAAATAAAAAAAAAGGATTATTTGACTCTAGGCACTACAATAATTACATTAAGTATATCTATTTTGGTCTTGAAAACTTGAATAACTAGACGGGCACTCAGTAGAGAGCATACCTCTGCCATGCAGCATTGATCATATTCATCTCTCAAAAAATACAAAAATCTGTCCATACATCTGTTGTTATCAATGGACATGGACCATTTTTGGCAGGACAATGAGAAATAATATTCTACACATGTCTACCAAGTTTCATCAAAATCCTATCATCTTTGACAGTTACTGAGCAAAAACAGTGAAAAATTGTTTCCCATGTTAACAGATAGCGATTTTTTGGATTTTTGTGACCTTGCTGAGATCATGATCCTCCAAAACTAATCACTTCTAAGTTGGGTCATAGTTCGAATGTCTACCAAATTTTGTCCAAATCCATTCAGCCATTTTCGAGAAATCTTGCTGACAAACATACACACACACACACAGGGGTAAAAACATACAACAACAAGAACAAAATTCTACATAATTATCTTAATAAATCCAAAATTCCAGTAACACATCACAGAGAATTATTACTTACCATATTCCATGACTTTTCTTAATTTGTTCTCTAGTTCAGCAGCCTCCTTATCTATCTGTTCTTGTTCTCTCTCTAAAGCTTCTAATTCATTTGTAACATAAGAGCTTTTCTCTGAAACCTTTTTAAAAAAATATAATATTCTTAAACTTTGAAGATGTATTTTAGCCAATGTCAACCTAGTAGTAGGGGCATCAGCTTCCCAATGTTACTGTTAATAATCACACACTTATGACAAATACTGAACAGGAGCTGAACTTCTTCACAAGTTAAATGTCAAATCCAAATAATTAATAAATATTGAGTAATAAAAATGTAAAAGGTGCAAAATTTAGTACCAAATACAATAAAGATTGACAGGATTAACCTGCTTTGTAATACATAAATCTATAGAACAAAACTAAGTATGGTTTTTAATAGATCAAGAGTCTGCTTCACAAGTAGTGCAGGAACTTAAACTGTTACTAAACACAACCTGCTGACACTTTTATCATTATTTATTCATAAATTTTTCTTTTTCTGTTTATTTGTATGTGTCTGGTCATACCCGTTTTAATATGTTTAGTTACCCATCTGTCTGCAAATATCTAGCTATGGGTGTGTGGATATATCATTCACTCTATATGTGCACAAATCTGCCTTGTTAGCTCTCCTCCAGATATAGTTTCTAAACACTACTTGTATGTACTGTCACAGTATGTACTAATATCTGAATAAACAAGTTCTGATTAAGAAGTTACAACACAGGATTACATACAAAAGTTGTAATGGTTTCCAAATGAGACCCAAAACTTGAGTTCTTTGGGTCTCATTTGAATAAACAAGTATTATGCTTGCACACAGACCTCTGTACTTACCTCTGAATCTAGAGAAAGGTCGGAAGAAAAAAAGGTTTCTGAAAAATAAGTATAAAATACAATTTTTGTATGTTTAAGGAAGAGTTTAATATGAAATGCTTTATATCACAACTAATGCAAGACAAAAATTGAGTGTTATAAATATCAACAACACCAGAGTTTTCATATGTTACATATATAACCAATATGTTTTATGATGCACTTCAACAACACCAGAGTTTTCATATGTTACATATATAACCAATATGTTTTACGATGTACTTCAACAACAACAGAGTTTTCATATGTTACATATATAACCAATATGTTTTATGATGTACTTGTCATTCTAATCATGCAATAGGTATACATCAGTTCATACAAATTTTAATCTTGTTTTAAAGAAATTATACATTTTGTAACTAAGATATCTAAATATCAGTACATGTTTGTATGAATTTATACTCTGTTTCATCAAGAGTATTCAATTCAACTAGTTACCTTTATCAGGCGAGAGTCGTTTTGCCAAAGAAATCACTACAGGAGAAGTTTCTTTATGTTCTACTTGACTAACTGATGTTATTACAGTCTTTTCTTGTCTTTGGTTAACATCTGGAGGGTTTCCATTTATCTGTAAATTTTTTATCATAATTATTTCTGTACAACATTCATATGAACATCTTGATCTGTTTATGAATGCTGTTTTTATCACTACATGATTGTGATCTTCACATGCAAAATTACAATATCAAACTGAAAATTGAAAATACGCAACTTATCTCAAACTCCATTACTTGTTAGCTTTACCTTTTCATGACTTTCATTGTTTGAAGGATAATTGAAAATACTTGATCAACTTATACTTTGTTGGTTTTCACCATTTGGTAAGTTAATATACAACTGTTAATCTTACCTCATTATCACTTTCACTCTTTGAAAGGTTAACAATCATCCCTGTGATGATTGTTTTTTCTTGACCTTTTTTCATAGGTACATCAACTTTTGGGGTACTTGTTAGGGATATCTCCTCTTCGCCTAATTATAAATGAAGAATTACATTATTTTGCTTTAAGAGCACTATTTGTTTCTTTAAGTATAATTCATCTCAAATGTTCTCTGAATATGATATATATATATATATATAAATGTAGACAAAAAATAAATAAGACACTAATGGCTTATTGTATTAAAACATTAATCTTTTAAAATTTCTCTTCTTCAAATTAAAGAAAATGTTAATATGGATATATATTTAGTGGTTGTAGATTGTGGAAAATGACTAAAATATAGTTCTAGGTTCTGTTAAGCTGGATGATGAATAATATGGAGTAACTAGCTGTAGGTTTGTTAAGCTGGATGATGAGTAATATGGAGTTAATAGCTGTAGGTTTTGTTAAACTGGACTATGAGTAATATGGAGTTACCAGTTGTAGTTTTTGTTAAGCTGGATGATAAGTAGTATGGATATACTAATTGTAGGTTCTGTTAAGTTGGATGATGAGTAATAAAGAGTTACTAGTTGTAGGTTCTGTTAAGAAGGATGATGAGTAATATAAAGTTACTAGTTGTAGGTTCTGTTAAGCTGGATGATGAGTAATATGGAGTTACTAGGTGTAGGTTTTGTTAAGCTGGATGACGAGTAATATGAAGTTACTAGCTGTAGGTTTAATTAAGCTGGATGATGAGTAATATAGATATACTAATTGTAGGTTCTGTTAAGTTGGATGATGAGGACCATGGAGTCACTAGTTGTAGGTTTTGTTGAGATGGATGATGATTAATATGGGGTTACTAAATGTAGGTTTTGTTAAGCTGGATGAATAATAATATGGAA